GGTATTCTTTTATTCTGTCATCTACCAAATCTGTTTTATTGAATACTTATCCAATAAGTAACATAAAATTTTGCTACAAAAAAAATAGACAAAAGAAATTCTAAAAAAATCTTTATCAGCAGAAGAAACTGGAATAAACTGAAGATACCTTTTAATTGAGACCCTGTTTCTGACATATTGGTAATAATATAGTTTTTACCCTCTCTTTCTCCTCACTTCAGTGCCATGAGGAAATTAAAATTATTCTGTATCATTTAATAATTGATTCTATTCTGTAATTGACCTTATTCTTTAATACTGCCCCATTTTGTGTAATTACTCAAGCCACATTTCTCCTTCCCTGTGTTATAGTTGAAATACAGGTTTTCCTCTAAGTTGATCTGAAGTTACAAGTTAACTTGTAATCTTCCCTAAAGGTATATTGTTCATCCTTTCCTGTCTTTATACAATTAAGAGAGGCTCTTGTCCCCTTAAAAAACCTTTCTAATTGCCAGGCCATCCAGTCTGCTAACTCAATTATGCTAACAAGGTCTGCAAAATTCTGTAAGAATTCACATTCTTTAATTGTCAGAAAACGGTGGTCCTTAGCCCCAAAGAGATCTGCTAACTCACTTTCTTTAAAACAGCCAATCATATTATCTCTACCCCCATAGTGCTGTCTACTGTGTAACCAATTATATTGTCTTCCCCACCTGCCCGACTGGACTTCCCAAAACTATATAAGGGCTGGTAAGCCCTGCTTCTGGGTCTTTGGTCATTGAGTGATTCTATGACCCAAATTATTGATTACTGTTAGTTTAACTAATAAATTGGTCATGCTCAGATCACTGTGTCTCAACTTCATTAATTTTCAAATCTAATAGCCATATTTGATGAGTATATATTCTGAATAATCCCTCTAATCAATTAGTGTTATTTGTAATTGAAAATTATGAAAGTATCTATGAATATATTATGCTTTTCTAATTTGTAAGGTAGCATGGTATAGTGGCAAGACTGGTAAATTCTCAGTAAGCCACTTTTATTGTTTAGGAACTTTATAACCCAAAGAAACTCTTCCCAGGGCTGATGACCTCGCCCACACAGATGGTTTCCAAGAACTAGGCAAGTTTACAAAATAAGGGGAATCAACAGGGACTGTTGATAAGAGGCTGAGCCTGATCCCCCTGTCTGCTCACCCCATCTACCAGTAGGGCTATTGTGGGCTGTGCTCTTTGACACATACACCCTGCCACCGTCTGCAAGATAGACTGGACTAACCTTGCTGCACATCCTCACAGCCCTGCTTTTCACACACTGTCATCAATTACTGATTTTAGGTTTTAAATTATGACAATAACTCCAAATAATTTAATTAACAATCTTACAACTTTCATAAATGATAGCTAAATAGTTATAGATGTAACTTCCTCTTAAATACAAGCAAAGGCAGAAATATCCAGTTCCCTAAGTGGCAGTTAGAAAACATTACAAAACAGGTTAGCAGGGCAGATAAAATAACATAACTGGTTTTAAACATCTTCCACCTTCTTTCATTTGTTCAGTTTGTACTCTAAGAACATTTAAATTACTGGATGACAACCTAAATCGGGGTTCTACAATTTCAGAAAGAACCCATTACTTATCAATTCACTACTACCTATAATTTTTTCTATATTGACTCAAATCAAACTACAAAATTTTCATGCTCAATCTTTCTGCTTAAATAGTCAAACTCACTCATACTCTCACAACATGTTTAAACCTTCTGTTCATAAAAAAGACATACCTTTCTTATTATCTTCATATTCTTTCATATAATCTTCCTTTATTTTGTTCACTCTTTATATTCTCCTTTAAAATTTTAGTATACCTTGTTGCTAAATGAAAATTATGACTTATTAAAGCCTTCCTTTCCCAGCTATATACTTAATTTAAACTCAAGTGAACTTTTAAGCAATATAGCTATAATTCTTTTGCTTGATTTGTCACAATACAACAAATTTGTGGAAACACAACAAATCATAAACAATATTATGTAGTTGAAACTTGAAACAAACCCATTACCCGTCAGGTGACTCCAATCCTGTTGAATGCATTTCCAAATTACCTTATACAGAAATTCACACATCTCATCACTGTTGGTGTTGTATACTTATCACATTTAAAATCCTATATAAAGTTATCAAGTATGAAGCAATTCCACCTAATTAAGGAAATAATAATTACAATTAAGATAGTGTTTGCCCTATGCCAGGCATTGTATTAGGCACTTTACAACCATGTGAAGCAAACTGAGGTAAATAGATGTGAACTAACTTACTTAAGGTCACCCAGTTAACAAATTTCAGGTCCATGAATTTTCCCAGTTTGTCTTAAAGCCAAAAAATATAATAAATTCTGACTTATCTTAAACATCAAAGTAGGAGAGACATATTTCACTTAAAGTGAGATCAGAATGAATTCAGTTACCTTTTGTTTGTGTCCTGGTACACACATACAACACACACACACACACACACACACACACACACACACACACACACACACACATACACTAAAAAAAAAAATTCTCCTTTTTTTATGAGCCAGAAAAGGTTAAATGCCAGTCTGATTTCCAAGTGCAAGCCTTGAAACTTTCACTGACACAGCTCCCAAACTTGTCTTTCTATAATCAGTGAAATGACCTTCTTCTCTAGGTGCAAAATGAATAATTAAATAAACAAACAAACAAATAAAGAAAGAAATAGATAGATAGATAGATAGATAGATAGATAGATAGATAGATAGATAGATAGATAGAATAGATAGATAGATAGATAGATAGATAGATAGATAGATAGATAGATAGATAGATAGATAGATAGATAAGATAGATAGATAGATAGATAGATAGATAGATAGATAGATAGATAGATAGATAGATAGATAGATAAGATAGATAGATAGATAGATAGATAGATAGATAGATAGATAGATAGATAGATAGATAGATAGATAGATAGATAGATAGATAGATATAGATAGATAGATAGATAGATAGATAGATTTAGAAGATAGATAGATAGATAGATAGATAGATAGATAGATAGATAGATAGATAGATAGATAGATAGATAGATAAACCAGTCATGGTGTGGTGGAGTGAGGGTGGGGGAAATGGAAGAGAGGGTTTATGGAAACCTCACCACGGTTCAGAAATGCAAAAGAAGAGAACAAAATCTTTCAAAAAATGTAAATTACCTAACAAGACACAGAGACACATATAAGCACAGATACTAGAAACACAAACAGGTCAACAATTTTTTCTTTCAAAAATTCCCAAACTATTTACTCTCAAATCCTCTGTTGACACTCTTCATGCAAACAGATTATGACTTTTTGTTCCCATGCTCCTCTCATTCTTACATGCTTAAACTCATTCACTTTACCTTCTAGAAAGTATCCCCCTAGTGGACTTTGATTAAGGTTCCTTTAAAATGGCACGTATCTTTTTTCTTTTCTATTCTGATCCAACATTTCTTACTTTCTTCTAATTGCTTTTACCAATCATATCTCAAATAGTCTTCACTTCACTTATTCAGTCTCTCTCTCTCTCTCTCTCTCTCTCTCTCTCTCTCTCTCTCTCTCTCTCTCTCTCTCTCTCCCTTTCACCCTGTCCATCCTCAAAAATGTTTTGCTTCTGACCACTGCCTCACTCCCAAACTACTTCCCTCTCTTCTATCATCCTCTTCTTTTATCCCCTTCCCTTCCTACTTTCTTAAAGGGCAGGAAACATTTCTATACCCAGCTGAGTGTGTATGTTATTCCCTCTCTGAGACAATTTTGTTGAGAATAAGGTTCAAACACTCCCCCATACCCAATCTTCTCTCCTCACTATAAAAGCTCACTCATGCCTCCTTTATGTAAGATAATTGCCCCCATTCTACCTCTCCCTTTAAATCATTTTGAGGCATTATTTAAAGTTGTTTTTAGGAGAATTTGAGAGAGCTCAGGCTAGTCCCTGCCTTTTTTCTGTCATCTTGGCTCTGCCCCACCTTGAACTGAGCCTTAAAGGAATCTAGAGTTTCTAAGAATCTTAGGAGGAAAAGGAATAACATTCCAGGCATTCGGTAGAGACAGTGCTAGGGCAGGGAGATAAGAGATAGAATGTCATTTGTGAAAAACAACAAGTAGGAAATATGGCTAAATGTTAGATAGTGTTGTGAGGAGTAATTTGTCAAAAGACTGAAAAAGTAGGAAAGGAGGAATTCAGGTGTTGAAGAGCTTTAAATGCCAAACAAAAATATTTAAATTTCATCCTAAAGATATTAAGGGGCCAATAGCATTATTTGAGTATGGGAGTGATAAGATCAGACCTCAACTTTAGAGAAATCCTTTTGATAGTTGTGTGTATGCTGGATTGGAGAAGGGAGAGATTGAATATTATTATAAAGAGAGTAGATATGATGCTAGGGGCACTTTATTGGAGAGGAAGGATGAGAAGCTCATGCAAAGGGCCGGCCTTGACTTGAAGACTAAATGAGTGCTGGATCAGCTAATTACTAACTTTGTAGTGTTAGATAACTTATTTATCCCTCTAAATCTTAATTTCTGTATCTGTAAAATGAAGCAACTAACCTAATCAGAAGCAGCTGCAAAACTCCTCACTCCAACCTAATTAGAATGTAATTGGGAAACGTTTAACAAAATAAATAAAAATACAATACAACATAAAAAATGTTAATTTGTGGTTCTCTAAGTCAATATGAGGCAAGAAGGGAGCCATTTCTATTTGAGTTTGGCACAACTAGTTTAGGTGACCTCTAACTTCTCTTAACTCTACATACTATTGCACTATATTCAATATCATTTTAGGAGAGTGGCCTTCATTGATTGCCAAAGTGTGAAAAGGTAAATTCTATTCTAGGAAATGAATTCTGAGGCAAAGGTTTGGGTCTCTTTTGTGTTTTTGTTTTCTTTTTCCTTCTTTACCATGAGTATGTGAGATATGACTATTTCTCACCTTTGTCCTTTACCAGGAGCTGGTGGTTGGTCCCCAGTAAATTCTAATACTCAACAATGGCTCCAGATTGATCTAGGAAATAGAGTGGAGATTACTGCAGTGGCTACCCAGGGAAGATATGGAAGCTCTGACTGGGTAACAAGCTATATACTGATGTTTAGTGATACAGGACGTAACTGGAAGCAATACAAGCAAGAAGACAACATCTGGGTAGGTCATTATATTAATTTTCCTCAGATAAATACAATTTATACCTACGGATGGTAACCACATAAGGATCTCTCATGATGCCATATGCTTCGATTGTTTGTGGGATTTTATGTATTGTAGATCTGCCTATATACTATTAAATAATGACTAAAACATCCAAAATACAATTGTGTTGGTATAGATAATACAAAGCAAAAATTAATATTTTTCACCTTTTCAACTATAGACAGCATTTGATTAAATATAATAATAAATTGGACTAATGGGGTACGGATAAAACCAACATATGTATGTATATATATATATATATATGTATGTGTGTGTGTGTGTGTATATATGTGTGTATGTATGTGTATGTATGTGTGTGGTGTGTGTGTATATATGTATGTATGTGTATGTGTGTGTGTGTGGTGTGTGTATATGTATGTGTGTATGTGTGTGTGTGGTGTGTGTGTGTATATACATACACATATAATTTATGGCATACATTGAGCCTACAGAGACAAAGAATGAGCAATTGGATGGGTAGGAGGTGAATATATTATTTTATAATACATTTACATATTATATTTATATAATATTATGTAATCTATACTCTATATTAATATTATTATATTATTTCTTCACTGTCAATGGAAAGTTTTAACAACCTCTGGAGCTTATCAAAAGCTGTGTGTTTCTGCAAAGTCTGCTGAGATATGTAGTATTAATAATAATATTTGTTTCTTCTGTAAAATAGAGATTAGATCCTTATTCAACTTTTCAAACAGGCTGGTTGTGAAGCTCAAATAAATCTCAGAGATGCAACTAGGATAGGATGATCAGCACTTTATGTCAGAGCAAAAATTGGAGAGGATACCAAGAGAACTTTCTTAGAATACAGTTCTATTTTTGCTTCACTTCCCTTCCTTCCCATAGTGTAGTAGGATTGGCTTCATAACAAGGCAAGTGATCTCCTCTAGGTAGACATACCTATGTGATGGTTCAGAAAATGTCCTGCTCTATCACTATCTTATTATCTGTAGTAGTTCAACCCCAAATGGGGTCACAAAGTCAACTGAAATGACTGGGGGGAAAAAAAAAAGCTCATCTCTAATGAACCTTCCCACTCTAGTTACCCAGGATCAAAAGTTACTATTTATATAAACAACATATAAAATTTGAAAAAATAAAAAAGTTAAAAAAATTAAAATTAAAAAAGATCCTGATTATTACTTGAGCATATACTGATTTGAATTGTAGAGAGGTGTTGAAAGTGTAGGCATGGTAAACCTAGATAGTAATGCTAGGTGGTAAATAATTTATTTACTTGGGAAGGAATGTGCGAAGACAATCTGAAGAACAGTGACAGTCCTATAGATATTTATGAATTAAGATTAATTTATTAATTTTTCTTCAATTACCTTTCAAAAAGATCAGATACAATTTTTTGGCAAATCTGTCTAAACCACATTGAAATGAAAAGTTTCACTGAAAAGTTCTCCATCTACTTTTGGATTAAATAAATAAAAAAATACACACACACATACACACATATATAACATACATATACATATGTATATACTTATAACCATACAGACACACATACATATATATATGTCAATTAAAAGTTTCAATTCCCATGATCCACAGATATGTTGTTGAAGTGCTATTCTGAGTTACCGGGGATATTTACTTCTACGTTGCATTTATTAGTATGTGCTAATTACCTACATGTCACAGTAGTACAATCCATGAAAACATTGGAAAATATGTCAATTTTCCAACGGAAAATATTAAGGTTTATTATAGGATTGAATCTCAAGTGTGATATGATTGTGTTGTTGTTGTTGTTGTTGTTGTGGCTCACTATATAAAGTATGGTTGAAAATCTGATCAGGACCCTGAGAGTTTAGGGTTTGGTTTGGTAAGTTTGGTAGTTGGTCCATGAGAGTGAAAGAGGCAAAAAGAGTTTTTAGATTTCCTTTTTTTGATGTTTAATCTCCACTAATCACTGTGGTTTTTATGAAGTTTAAAATGAAAACATGCACTTTCCAGTTTTGAATAATTATATTTAAAGTTACTTTTTGACTGGAGGGACGGATGTGGTGTTTGTTCATCAATGTTGTTTTTATCTCAGGTGCCATTAAAATTCATTGTTGTTTAGATTGAATGATAGATTTGGGTTATTTTGTGTACAAGTTTTTTTGTCCTCAAGTAACATTGTATTTTACTCCAAATAGTTGTATTTGTTGAATTGACTGTTTTCATATACCTTGTTAGTGTATGATATTTCTCAAATTTTGTATGAATGATATAAATAAGAAATTATTTTTAAATTTTTAACATTCTTTTTTCAAATGAGTTTCAGATTCTCTCCCTCCTCACCTTCTTGAAAAGCCAAACAATATATCAATTACACACATGAAGTTATGAAAAACATATTTCCATATTAACATGTTGCAAAAAAAATGAGAAAAAGTACAAGAAAAAATATATTTTCTAAAAGTATGCTTCAATATACATTCAGAATTCTTTAGACCTCTCTCTTTAGAAGGATAGGATTTTTTATAATGGGTCATTTGGAATTGTCTTGGGTCATTGTATTGATCAGAGTAGCTAAGTCTTTCACAGTTGATCATCATTGCAATGTTGCTATTACTCTGTACAATGTTGTTTCCACTCATTTATCTTTGCATCAGTTCATATATATGTCTCCCAGGTTTTTCTGAAAATATCTTGCTTATCATTTCTTATAGCATAATAGTATTCCATTACGATCATATATCATAACTTGTTAAGCCATTCCCCAATTGATGGGCATAATCTCAATTTCCGAGAGAGAGAGAGAGAGATTTTCAGACATTCTTCATAGCAGGTCTCCAGTCTTCTAAAAGGAGAACTACTTTTAAAGGCCTGAAGCTCAACCTTGAGATCATTTCTCTGTTTTGGTCTCTCTGTCTCTCTCTGTCTCTATCTCTGTCTCTGTCTCTGTGTGTATGTGTGTGTGTTTGTGTGTGTCTCTCTTGTGGTGGGGAAACTGAATGCTGAGATCTTCTCAAGTTTTATGTGGATACTGTAACATCTGTTGCTTCACACAACATTATCCAACTGGAAATTTTTATAAGCCACAGGGAGGAAGATGTTGTGACAGATGTCTGTGATTCACCATTTTGTGTCCAAACAGACCACAGAGAGATCCCCACATTCTTTTCTATATAAAGATAGGATCCAGCAAGTGTCAGTAGAAAAAGGTAATATTTCATCTCCAATAATTAGGATTATATCCAAGTAAAAGATACAGCCTGCAGTCAAGTGAGGTCAGAATCATGCAATTAAATTAACTTTCAGAATAATAGCTCACTGATACTTAAAATCTATTCATTTTAAAGGTAACTAACTCATAGGTCCAAAGTTGAAAGCTTCACATTATTAGTATGCCTATTATGTGATATTTATGTTATATACTTTGCATATTTTTATTCACTTTATATTAATGATGCATATCTTTTTATAAGTACTTTTCTCCCCATCAGAATGTAATCTCACGGTGAGTAGGGGTTATTTCATTCCTTGTATTTGTATCCAAAGTGCCTGGAACATAATATTCACAATAATTATCCTTTGTTGGTTGATTAGCATGATGATATTAAAATATAAAATGAGGCAAACTTAAATTTTTAATTTCATTATGCTTTTCTTTTGCAAAAAGGAAAATCAACTTAGACACAATAATTTCAAATGATTCCGTTAACCATAAACTTAAGGAAAATTCACTGAATCCTTTGCAGAAATTTATAAATACGTATCAAGTTTTTTGCTGATTCTTGGAAAAGGATTGACTGAGTTATTTATTTGCAACAAAATGATCACATATTTAGGGAACTCTTATTCTTAACATTTTATTTTAAACTCCCGATTCCACACAAAATGTATATATTACTAGCTCAGGTCCTTAAAGAGCAAGATGAGAGAACCAGCTCTCCAAAAAAGTTTTTATAGACTCCTCCAATTTGTCTAACCTTGGCTTTTCAAAATAGCTACCACCTAAAAAGCATCAATAATGAATATTGGCCTAAATAGGGTGTGTTAAAAGGAATAAGAGAAGTTTTATAAAGCAAAACTATATGTCCTCTCATAAAAATGTTCACTTCAGAGATTAAATATTTTAGCACTAAATGCATTACCCTTGTAGAACTCATAATGTTTGAAAAGTGATTTGTAAAAAACAAAGGAGAAAAAAGTACCAGTTGATTGAGTTGTTGGGATTTTGATACCCTTCCTTTAAAATATTTGTTTTCTTTTTTATAAAATTTACTTCAGAATAAGGATCCAAAAGAGATGCCTTTCAAATGTAGAGAAACAAATCTCCACACCCTAATGATCCAATTTTGAGAGCTTCTGATCTGCATTGCCCAGAATGCTCAACAATAAGAATTTAACTTCTGATCATGAGTGATGAAGGGAGCCTCCTGCTATACTGAATGATGAGGCATGAAGGTATTTCAGAGAAGGCCTTCACAGATATCTTTAGAAGCCTTAGCAGGTCAAAACTCTCTCTACCGGAAGGGCAGTATTTTAAGTGTGGTGATTGAGATACACGACAGAAATGCAAATGACAATGATGGGGTTTGGTTTTTGTTGCTTCATTGATATAAATAAGTATGCTCATTATGAAAATATAAATTCTCCTTCTGGTTCAGGCATTTAGCTGGTCTAGCAAAAGATTCTGTTGTCAATAAAGCCTCAAATAGACATGTCCTGGGACGGCATGGCTTAGTATAGTTGAAAGGCCACAGGAATAAAGGGAAGGAAGACCTATATTTGAATTCTGCCTCATATATTCACTATCTATGTGAATTACCCTCAGAAAATCACTTAAACTTGCAGTCTCATTTTCTCATCTGTAAAATGGTTATAATAATAACAATAACAATTTTAATAATTATTATTATTATTTGATGGGGCTGTTGTGAAGATCAAAAGAGAAAGTAGATACAAAATTTAAAATAACTTTAGTA